TTTGCATGTCTGGGTTTTCAGAAACAGCTGGTTAAGTTGCCTGCCTTTCGTGCTGGCAATCTTGCTGCTGCCTCTCGTGTTGCGCAGCAGCAGCAACGCAGCAGCGTCAAGTCAAAGTTGCCCAGTCTCAAAACAGAGCTTGACAGAGCTGAAACGGCGCCTGGGCATCAGTTCGGAAAGGTGTGCACGCTCAAGTCTCAGTGCCAGCAGCTCGAGATGGAAGAGCAGCAGTTGGCCTCTGAATCCGCGGCGGCCTGGTCCAACGTTGCTGGAGGCGCCAAGCCTGAAGATGCAGTGCTTCGCAGCTTTGAAGCCCTCGATCCTCAGACGGCTCAGCAGTTCAAAGCGTCGGGCGAAGTCCGAGACGCCCACGGGCAAGCCGCCAAGCCAGCGGCAGCATCGGGCAGCGTCGAGCCGGAAGCAGCCACGGGCTCAGGTGCAGGAGACGCGCAGCATATCATCGACTCCGATTCCGCTCCCAAGATGGACGATGCATGGGCCGAGGCTGATGAAGTCGCTACCTCAGCGGCGCAGCTGCTGGAACAGACTCACACACCCCAGGGAGCCCTCGAGGTTCTGCGCGAGCAGAATCATCATCCCGATCTTTCTCTTGATCAATGTCGTTGGTCGGTCTCTTCCGTGGTCGAATCCATCAAGCGTGTTCATGAAGAACGCACTGGGTGGATATCCAAGGAGAAGCAGCGCAAGCAGCAGCAGGCACATGGAAACACAGTATATTCAACAGCTCGGGTTTGGCTTCGAAATGCTGGCTCCCCCCTTTGTCAATCTCACTACATGGCCCAGCTTTGAACGAGTTCAAGAGTCGAGGTCCAACGTCGACGTCATAGGTGTGCAGGAGACGCATCTCTCTTTTTTTTGAGCAGTGTGATCTACATGAGGCGCAGCTTCGCGCTGTAGGCTTCTCAGCTAAGCTCTCTCTCTTTGGGCACCTAGGGGAACTGGAGGTTTCGCTGGTGGGCTTGGAATCATTGTGCCGTCCCGTATTGGTTTAGCTGTTGTCTTGGGGCATGATGCTGTTCTCTGGCCTGGTAGGGCCATGGCGCTACACGTTGGAGGTTTCGTTCGGGGAGGTATTGTGTTTGTTACTAGGTCCCTTCGGCACTCCTCGGGCCTTGGTTCCTTCAACTGGGGTATGCTAAGGAAGGTGGGGTCTTTCTTGAATCAGGTACTTCCCTTCGTCGTCTCCGCAAATTGGCAGATCGAGCCTGCCAGTCTAATCGGCAGTGGATGGCCTGATGGGCTCGACGCTAAAGTATTTTATGCGGATCGGGGCACATGCAGGCCAGCATTTTATAGTGTCGATTATTTTATTGTCAGCGGCGTGCTTGTTCGTCTGGTCGCGCTCGTGGGGCTCACGGACATGCCGATGGCGCCACATTTCCCATTGCAGCTCTCTTTCCGTGCTCTCGCAGCTGATGATACTGTCCATGTTGTGCAGGTTCCTAGACGGTTTCCAGCTGAACTTCCAGCGGGCTATGCGCTTCCGCCGATCCCCGTTCAAGGTGGGCGAGATTGCCCTGGTGGTGGAGGACGAGGGGCGTGAGCTTGGAAATGGTATCGACTTATTGGGCATTGTGGGCAAGAGTGGCTCCAGATCTTTCAGGTACTTCCTGCGGACAACCGCAAGTGCGCTGGTTGGTCCGCAGTTCTGTGGCTCTCTGAGCAGCGCGTCAGGCGTCCAAGGCTCCGCAGATTCCCCAAGCTGTCCATCGTCGCCGTCTGGTGGAGGAGAGTCTACGTGCCCTCGGGGCATTTCTCGGTGCCTCGCGTGATCCGGGCACGGGCCGGTGCAGTCAATCTTCTCAAAGGGTTCGGTCGCGTTTTCTGTCGAAATATGATTTTGTCCTGGCCTGGTCTCGCGTGCTTGGCAAAGCCAAATGCTTACTTTGTCCAGTTGTGCAGAGGTTGATTTGTTGGGCGCGCGACGCGGCCGTGTCGGGGGCCAAGGGGGTTGGTAAGCAGAAGGGGATGGAGTGGGATAAGTGGATTGAGAATCGTGCATCGAACGGTGCAGCAACCTCGTACTCATATTCTGCTCTGCCCGCGCCTCGGCGGCCCTCCAGCGGCGCGGGGCGTTCCGCGCTCGGGCCAGCCGCGTCGCGTGAGAAGATGAAGGCGTTGCGGGCCGAGTGGGGGGAATGGTGTCGCATGTCTCATCGTCGTCGGTCTCTGGCGTGGCCTGATCTGGGGTGGCCTCCGCTGCCGACCGCTGTCCAACAGCTGAAGTCTGCGCTGCAATCCTTCGGGGCCTCCTCGGGCACGGGTTTCGGTGTTCTCCTTGGTCGTTTTCTGTTTGCCAGACGATGCATTCGCTATTTTGCGTGACATTATTTGGGCGGTGGAAGCGGATCTGGAGTGGCATTGTGCCTGGCTGTGAACTGTGTTCGTCCATGGGCGGTTTGGCGGTGCCAGGCCGCTGGGGCCCCTTGATGTGATTCGTGGGATCCAGCGCGTGCTTCGGTGGCCCCTGGTCCGACAGTGGCAGAGCGACGATCTCCAGAGTTTCTGGCGAGGGTCCTCGACGCGCGGGGCGTCGTCAGCGATGCTGTCCAACCGTGGGCGGGGGGGCTATAGTTCCAGGGTGTCATTTTGCCATTTTGGGCAAGTTCAACATGTCTACAGGTGCGTTGTTGGCGATTTCGGGTTTCAGCGATATGGGGCCGCCAGTCGCTTGCTCGAGGAGTTGACGGGGGCGTCCACTATGTTGTGTCGGCTGTTGAAGAGCATTAACATGGCGCTAGCCATTGAGAAAGGGCGAGCCGTGGCAAACTGTACTGCGCTGTGTAGGTAGTTGTTCAAGGCGTTGTATCCAGTTGGTGCGCATGGCGTTGCGTCTAAGCGCTAGTGCTGCCGCTGCCAGGCGCAAGCGTATGAGTGCGCTCAAGTCTGGCAGGCCCAGAAGGAGGTTGCTTGGTGGCGTGCCGCGTGCTGCCTTGGAAGGTGCTGTTCGTTGCGGAACGTCAGTCCTTGGCCTCGACAGCGGTGGGCTCTCCCGTCTGAGATCCCTGGCTGGCGAGCTTTAACGTCATTAATCAGATCGCAGGTCCTGAATTCTATTTCTTGTGATTGTACCCAATGCCGATTTGGAATTTACGTTTCGTGACGCCTTGCTGGTAAAGTTCGTTGTTGCAGTGTTGGCCGGGCGAGTGGTTATCTCGCAGCTCCATGTCTGCATCTATGGCTGCCGCTTCTGGCCAACTCCTGGGGCTTCAGTCTTCCTGGCGTGCTGTTCGAGGGCATTTTTCTGCTGTGTGGGCCGCGCTCTGGCGCGCTGGAGTGAATGTTGCACCGAAGTCTGAATTTCAAATTCCTGGAGGCTCTACGGCTGATCCCGCAGTCCAATGCACCAGCGTCATTCGCAATGCAGGCAGGTTGCGCAGCAGTTGGGCCATCGTGAGTTTGAGAGTGTGTGGGCGCAGTCCGTTGTGACATTTACCAGGCCTGATGCCCCTGTGCAGCATCGTGCGCATGTGCCCACATGCTTTGTTGGGGGCCAGTGGCCGATGCGTAGACAGCTGTCGGGCGTGCTTGTTTGCGCGTGAGTCTGACGTGAGTGGCGCGCTCTTGCGTTGGCACACCGTGTGTGAGTGTGCAGACATCAGGCACGCTGATCAGGGGCCTCCCTGTCCTCCTTGGCATGCTGAGGCCTTCGTCAGTTTCCCGTTCGTGTTCATGCTTGCTGAGAGCTGTCTTGTTCCCATGCCTGAGCTTCGCAAACCTGACTTGGCTGAGGTGTCACCAGAGTATTGGTTTTAGTTTCTCCTGCGAATTTGCTGGGGTCATTTCATCGATGATTTTTCGGCGTGGTGGAGAGTGGCCCGACATGGTGGCTGCGGGATGGATTGTCGTTGCTAATTCTCCGTGCGGTCGGCGCACCTCGCGCGCGCCCCTTGCCATTGCGCGTGGTCCTCTCGTCGCCGTCCTTCCGTCTATCGCTGAAGCTGAGATCGGGGCCTTTTCGTTTGCTTGGCGACGCGCTATGCCTGGCGGCATCGCTCGCGCTGGCAGTGATTCTGGGTGGAGAGGTTTCTGTGTTCGTGGCGAGGCCGAATGTTGCCGCTGTCTGTCTTCTCGCGCCATTCTCTGGCGTGGGGTCTGTGGGCTCTTCTGGGGGCCGCTGCGACGAAGATCTTGCGCGCTTGGTGGTCAAGAGCAAAGCGCGTCCGCGGCCTTGAGATATCCAGGTGCCTCGCGCCGCGCCGTGCTTCGATGCGGGCAGCATTGTTGCTGATCGCTTTGCGCGGTGGGCAGCGCTTGCGTGGGGCTCGCTTTGGTGCAGTCTGACCTGCTCCATCGCCGCCTGCAGATCCTTGAGTTCTGGATTGGATGGGTCGCCGAGGTTGGGGAGGGCGACGACGCGTTCCACCCGTCGAAGATTAGACGGGTCGCCCCCCCCAGCCCGCGCTCCATATTGTTGAAGATGGGCCGCTTTCGCCCCCTGCGCGCGCGGTGGACTTCTCCCGCAGTTGCAGGAGGCAGGGCTCAGGCCGCACTCTCTCGTCAGGTTCTGCTTGGATGGGGGGATCTTTCTTGTGTGTTGGCACAGCATGCCAAGTTATTTGTTCCGATCGCATAGGAACCCTTGCTCAGCCATGCGCGCCCGAGAGGGCCGCTTGGGCGGTCAAAATGATGGGCGCGCTGGGGAAGGGGTGAGTACTGGCATGTCGGCATGAATGCTGTGTTGCAAGTGCGTGATGCTGCTCCGGTCGCGTTGTCATGCTGTTCGGGCTTTCCTGTGTTGCACGTGGTTGGATCAGTTGCGCGCAATGTCTTGCCCAGTATGATGATGGTGGTGATGATGGTGATGATGTTGCTGATGATGATGGTGATGATGGTTATGATGCTAATGATGATGAGGATGAATATGAGGAGGAGGAGGAGGAGGAGGAGAAGGAGGGGGAGGATGCGGAGGAGGAGCCGGAGGAGGATGGCGTGAAGAAGACTGGGGAAACGACGGATGATAATGTTCTCGCGCGTGA